CCAGTAATCCCATAGCAACCCCACAGTTCCCCATTTTCCCAAAATTTCCTCAAATTTTCCCCAGACTTCCCCAAATTTGCCCAGTTTTCCCCAAACTTCCCCATTTTTGCCATACTTTACCCTAAACTTCTACAATTCCCCATTTTTGGTCGTGGGTGGATGTGGCCACTTCCCACAGCCACAGTGTTTGATTGGAGGAGCTCTGGGGCAGGGCCTGGTTGCCAAATTCGTGCCCAGAATTGCCTCGAACTAGCCCAAAATTTCATTGAATTTGCCTCAGATTTCCCCATTTGCCCCACAGAATTTCCCTATTTTTCCTCAGTTTCTCCCAAATTTCATTTTCCCAAATTTCCTAATTTTGACCTTTATTTCTCCATTTTTACCCCAGTTTCTCAAAACACCTCCAAATGTGTCTCAGTTCCCCAAGTTTGCCCAAAAATTCTATGAATTTGACCTGATGTCCCCATTTCTGCCTCAATTTTCCTCAGATTTCCTCAGTATCCCACAATTTTCTCATTTAGTCTCTAATTTCCTCATTTTTGCCTAAATTTGCCCAATTTTTCCCCAGACTTTCCCATCTTTGTCCCCAATTCCCCAAATTCTCCCCTAATTTTCCTATTTTTGCTGAAATATGTAGAAGTTGTTCACAAATTTCCCCCATAGTGACCCCAGCCTGATTTAGACTGGTTCATACTGGTTTACACTGGTCTGTGCCTCCTCCTGCACAGGTAGAGGAGCTCCTGCCCCCACCCGTGGAGATCGAGTTCCCCCCAGGTGAGCTCTGTGCTGTACTGGTCTGTACTGGTTTATACTGGTGGGTGCAGGCGGGGTTAGGGCTGTAGGGGGATGGTTCCCATACTGGATTGTGGTGGTGGGATCAGGGGGTTTAGGACTGGTATAGAGGTTGTACACGGGTGGCCAGTGGTCCATACTGGTTTATACTGGTTGGTACTGGTCTGTAGTGATCTATACTCATCCATACTAGTCCATACTGGCCCATACTGGTGGGCACAGGGAGCTTTGGGGTGGGTGTATATGGGTGAGTGCTGATCTGTACTGGTCTGTACCCCCAGCGCCACCCCTGACGGTGTCCCCTGAGGTCATCACCCTGAGGGAACCTGAAGTTCCGCTGCTGCCACCGGCCCTCGAGGTGCCACAATTTGGGGTTCTGGGGGGTCCTTGCTGTCACCTGGGAGTCCCTGGGCATCATCTGGGGGTCATTTGGGGATTGCTGGGGGTCTCTGTGGGTCCCAGAGTTAATCTTTGGGTCTCTGGGGTCAGGAGGAGCTGCCTGAAGTGACCCCCAGGGAGCTGCAGCTGCTGCTCGAGGCCGAGGCAGAGGAGCTGCTGCCCCCGGGTGAGGGGGGCACCTGGGGGGTAGGGGGGTGTTGGGGGTCATGGGGTACTTGGGCAATGTGGG